TGTTTGAGCATGCGCAATTGTCGTTAGCCAATTACATTAAAAATATTTTTTCTATAAAATATATTGTAAGGTCGGGCTGAATTTTGAAAGCCGATTAAGTTGCGAAAAGCATGGAACCGGCAAAGTCGATCTCTATTTGATTGCAATTTAAAGAAGTCGGTCGAACAGTGCTGAGTAGTGAATATTCACCGTCCAATCCAATTTTCGTGCTTTAGCTTTGCCTTGATTAGAATTTGATTTTGATCACTGGTGAAGCAAACTTTTCTTTCAAAATCATATCGTCTTCAACACATATGCGAACAGTTATTTTACTTATTTATCGTGAAAAATTTTGCGTGTTAATGGTGGACAAATTTCTCCGGGAAACGCAAACGTTTTCACGCCACTTAGCGAAAAACCTGTCCCATACAATGAACTCTAATACAACTGTTCTGTGAGTCTTGTTTCGATTTTCTTGATACATAGGACAAACATCAAAGAAAATCAAAAAAAAGACTCACAGAACACAAAAACGCCACAAAACGACGAGATCCAAACTCACTACCGGCAGAACATACCCACTGAAACAACCACACATTAGACTGGACAGAAACTAAAATACTCGGACGCGCACAGGCTAAACACGCACGCGAATTTAAAGAAGCTTGGTACAGTAAAGACAACGACATAATAAACAGACATATCGACATACCCATCATATACTCACAACTAAAGAAAAAGGACAAAAAAGTACAAACAACAACAGAGCTACAACATTACACTCTAATAATATCAACACCGATCATATTAACAATACACCAAAACCTATGGCAACGCATTCCACCCCATCCAGTCACATTAATCCATCCGCGAATCCAACTAGACGCTCCAAGCGTCTACAATAGTGTTGCCACGCCTTGGGATTTCTCCCAAAATCTTGGGATTTTCGAATGAAGCTTGGGATCTTGGAAGTTTTGTCGAAATATTGTAAACTCTTCGGATATTTTGTTTATATATTTTATACGTAATATTGTCTCTCTTATTATGCGTAAAATTGTAAGCCAACATTCCATCATAAATAACAGTCGAAAAGCAAAACGGTATTGGGTAATCAAGCTACTGGAAAACCTGAAATACTAAATGGTAATAGCTATAAAATCTGTTATACGCACAAGTTTTACATTTTCTTATGCAGTGAAAACGGAGTTAACAGTTAAATTTGAAATATTTGACTTCCGGTGGAACAAAAACACATTTTCGAAGCAAATGTATGATGACGAAGAAAGTGAATCAAGTGATCAGAATGATCATCCTCCATCAAGACAAAAAGCAAAACAAGGAAATAGAAAAATGGTACAAGCAATCGTTTAACGATGCATGGTTAAAAGATCCAGAATTACAAGACTGGATTTCTAAAGACCCCAGAAAGAAATTCACAGAAAGATGCAAAGTTTGTGAACATACATTCAACGGTCCCAACTAGTCTGCTTTGATGAAGCATAAAGCCACAAAAAAGCATAATGATGCATTTAAAGCCAAGCAAAACACTTTGCAAGTAAGCAAATTTTTCAAAAAAGCAAACAGGGCCAGATGTTGACGAAATGACAGCAAAGCCAAAGTTTTGTTGTCTGGTTTTTAGCTTACCACCGAACGCTTTTCATTCTGGCCGATCATCTCAGTGAGTTAATGAAAAAAATGTTTCCAGACAGCAAAATTGCGCAAAAATGCAGTTGAAAAAAACAAAGGCATCATATGTTATTTAAGAAGGAATTGCGCGAGAGGAAGTGGGGTCGCTATCAGCAATCTGTCAAAAAATCAAATTTTCTCGGATCGTAGACGAATCGACAGATGTTTCGGTTTCCCAAATTCTTGCTGTTGTTGTCAGATTTTACCATGAAAGGAAAGTGACTGATGCTTTATTGACTGCCCTTAAAGTAGAAAATGCCTCTGCTAATGGATTGTATGCGGCTGTTAAAACTTTTTAAGAACGAGCAATACCACTAAGTAGTGTTGTTCGTTTTGCTAGCGACAATTGTTCGACAATGATGGATGGAAGAGGAGGTTTCCTACTCTCTAAAAAAAAGATGTACTTGGTGTATTTGTCTTTGGTTGTATTTGTCACTCTTTTGCTATCTGGGCGCACCATGCAAGTAGTCGCCTACCTTCTTGGTTGGAAGGATTTGTGAAAGACGCCTGCTGTTATTTTACCGTAGCAGTAAGCGACAACACCAGTTCCGTCTCATACAAGATATTATGAAAGCACTTCGTCATAAAATTCTCAAACTTTCACAGACAAGGTGGCTTTCCCGAGGCCAGTTTTTGCAAGAATTTTATAGCAATGGGGTGCATTAAAACTTTATTTTCAATCTCAGTCTTAATGTGATCGTGTAGACGGGGCTGTCAAGATCTATAAAACCATGACGACAAAAGGAACCAAACATATTAGGCATTCCTAAATTACATATTGTAAAAGTTGATTGTTTAAATGTTGAATTTCAGGCTCAAGATTTCAAGCTGCACACTCTGTGCAGTTCTATATCAGATGAGTATAGAAGCATTTTAGCCCTGTTCATCAAAGACAAAGTAGTACGAGAAACACCGTTGGACGAGATTAATCCAAACGACGTAAAGATATACAAGCTTCTCAATGATATTCATCTCGGAGGAAGATGCGTAAGCCTGTGCACTCACCTGTCTTTGGGTAACCCAGAACAACGTTTCAGAAGCAATTGTCGTAACTTCTCCTTAAGTTATGTAATCAAAATAAAAGAGGTTTTCTTTCAAAAGTGATGTAGTTCTAGCTTTGCTATCAGCTGCCAACCCTTCAAAGGCATTGTCCACCAGGCGATCATTAAACTCGATGGCGGTATATTAGCACACCATTTTCCATCTTTAGTGTCTGAAGATCAGTTGGATGAAGTTGATGATCAGTGGAGGCAATTGTTATACACCACAGACTTTCATAAAGGTATGGCTGACTCCCCAACTCAGATTTGAAATGAGATCAGAGTTATTAAAGATAGTAACGGAAATAAAAAGTTTGAACTTTTGGGAAATTTAATGTGCAACCATCTTGTTTTACCTCATTCATCAGAATTTTTTCCCAAGTTAGCATGATAAAGATTCCTCAAACCAAACCCCTGTATTGCTCAACTTTGAGAAACAGACTAATTGCAAAACAAGCTATTTCTCGACAAGTTACACATTACATGTTTGTAAATGTAGATCGTCGAGGTTGGTATAGTGCTGAAAAGGACTGTTTTTGTTGTTGTTGACTGACGTTTCGACAACCTTAGCGGTAGTCATCTTCAGAGTCAAATGAAGCGGTAGTTAACTTCAGAGTCTTCATTTGACTCTGAATATGACTACCGCTAAGATTGTCGAAACGTCAGTCAACAACAACTTCTCAGACTGTACCAACCTGGACGATCTACATTAAACATGTACTCTCGGGTTCAAACCATTTACTTTAAGTTACACATTGCTACACATGGGAGCCGTCAACTAAACTTGTAAAAGACGTACAATTTGACCATTGTAGGAGAGAATATTTTAATAAACATGGTCAACGTCAGGAACAGGAAGAAAATGCAACTGATGTTTATGACATCATAAGAGAAGAGATTGTTGAAATAGGGTCTGGTTAGCATGTTTGATAATTTTATGTACTGTTATGTTTCACGAACTTTTCCTGATCATGTAAAAAATTGTATTTACTATTGTTTTTTATACAATTTTTGATTTAAAGTATCAAAACAAAATGATGCGTTAATGGCGTACCCAAGACAAAGGAGCTCCGGAAACAACTGTTTTGCTGTACCTGGAGGATTTTGGGATATTTTTAAAGGATCTTGGGATATTTTAAAGGATCTTGGGACTATTATCCACAAAATCTTGTGCATTTCTAAAATAGTCAGTGGCAACACTGGTCTACAAGCTAAAAGTACGTGTAAATAGTAATTTCCTCATTCTGATGAAGGCTCGAAGCAACGAGTCGAAAGCTCAATTTAAGCATTGTGTGTCTCACCACTGTGTGACTTCATATCTACATTTAATTTCAAACACCCCACTGCAAAAACATTCTTTCGTATGACATTCCTTTCACGAGAAAACATGAGCCAACAAAATTGACCTGCCCACCACTGTGTGACTTCATAGCTCAGTTGGTCAGAGCACTGCACCGGCACCGCAGAGGTCATGGGTTCGAATCCTGTTGAGTCACCTGAATTTTTCAGGTTCATGAGACAATTGCTTAAATTGTCCAACAAAGTGTGAAGATCATATCTACATTTAATAAGAAATCAAACGCTTACAGAAAAAAGAAACAGAAATACACAAAATTGTTGTATAAAAATAAAAGATCCTTCGGATTGTATAAAATGATTTTTATTGAGCTTTCGACTCGTTGCTTCGAGCCTTCATCAGAATGAGGAAATTACTATTTACACGTGCTTTTAGCTTTTAGACCAGTGTTGACACTGACTATTTTAGAAATTCCCAAGATTTTGTGGATAAAAGATCATATCTACATTTAATTTCAAACACCGCACTGCATAAAACATTCTTTCGTTTGACTTCTATCACAGAACAAGGAATAAATGGTAGTGCCACTACAATGAAGCCTTTGTTGCTTTTTGATATTCAGGAATTAATTGTTTGGTTTTCCTGTGTTCCCATGGGTGGTTTGTGATCCGATTTGAGAAAGATGTGTTGCGCATGTCATTGTGGCGTTCTGTACTATATGCCATGCATTGAACAGACGTTTTCTTTAAGTCATTGTTTGTGGGTCCTCGATGAATGTTTTACTTATATTGCTTTAATATCACTATGTTTTAAATGCTTATGTTTTCGGGTTAGTTGTGCACAAACACAGATGAGGTATTTTGAAGAGCTGTTTTTTCTAAACATTTTGAGATAAAATATTTTAGAGATGCTCAAGTTCAAGTGTTTTTAGGTTTTGTTCCAGTGGCTATGTCTATGCGGTTAAGAAGAGTTCAGATTTCACACTTAAGCAAGTGGAATACTTCTCCTATATTTTATTCATTTACATGTATGATTTCAGATCGCTCTTGTATACAAATCGTTTCTGTTAATTTATTTCTATTCAACACAGTCCTTGCACGCTCTTCTATAAAATAAAAATGATTATTACAATATTATGATACAAAATCAGTCGTCGTGGAAATATAAACGTCCTTGTCTAGTCTTCTCTTACATATATGCTCATTATGACAATTATTCTGAAAATTATATAAGAAATTATCATGGACGGATTTTCATATCTTTACAGGGGTAGTGCTAATAATTTTAGAAGGGTGAGCTGGTAAGAAATTGATGCAAGACAAAGTTAGGATCTAGATTTTAGTGGCAATCTGGAAGTATGGACACCAAAGGTAGTGTACATAGCTGAAACATTGCCCAGAGAATCTCAGTAAAAATGAACTACTGTTTATGTTGCTGAAAATAGAAGGCGTCAAAATGTTTCTTAGAGACGTGAACAATTTATTTAGGGGATGAAATCTGATGTTTTAAGGGTATAGCACCCTCTGCAACCTCCTGAAAATCCGTCCATGGAAATTATACGATTGTTGTATAACATTGAAAAATAGCTCAAATAAGTTACAATAATAGCTTAAAACCTTTTTCTTGTGATAACATAGAAATTCTCCGGACCATTTACAATTCCCAAATGTGGTCCATCTTCTGCAGGTCTTTCCGCTCCTTCAGGAAGCTCAAACTTGAGCTGTTGCAATAATGCTGCAGTAAACGTAAATAACATGATCTTTGCAAACGATATTCCGGCGCATTCTCTTCGACCTAAACCAAACGGCATAAATGCAGGATACTTTGTCCATCCAACAAATTTCCCATTTTCGTCTAAGAAACGCTCTGGCTTGAATTTATGTGGTTCCCGCCATTCTCGCTCATCCAAGTGAACCTCTGGTATATTGACCATGAGAGTAGTTCCTTTTGGAATATAATATCCTGCAAGTGTTACATCGTTTATTGTCACTGTAATTGCCCTTGACACTGGAGAGGTCTTGCGTAATACTTCACAAATGGTGGCTTGAAGATAAGGCATGTTGTCGGCGTCATCCATTCTCGGCAATTTGTCCTTCCTAGTGCATGAACAATTTCTTCATGAATTTTTGTGAAGTTTCAGGGTATAAAGTCATGTACAATATGAACCATGATAGTGAGGAAGAGGTTGTGTCCGAACCGGCAAAAGCGACGTCTATCATCAAAGCTTTGATATCTTCAATGGATCCAATATCTTTTTTATTTTCTTTGGCCGCTTCCTTTTTGTATGCTTCAATAAAACTATCAGCCATATCGCGGATAGTACCAGGTGTGTAAGTTTCTAAATGGGATTTTAAAACTGGTGAAAGTATCGAGAATTTTATATTTTGACCTCGTTTAACAAATTTGGAAAGCTTTGTTGGCAGATAGGAGTGAAACGGTATCATGCAGTAAGTTAAATAAATTGACGGAATCTTTCTTGCAACGAGATCACTAAACTCGAGGAGATTCATTATTACTGGATCATCCAAAGAAACTTTCTCGGCAGTGAGCCATTGCCTCAATTGAACCATTATAGCTGATCCAATAATTTCTTGGGGAGAGAATGGTTGATCTTTCAATGTTTTTATTTGCTCCAAAGTACATGTTACTGCATGAAGTCCTCTTGTGCTGCCTTGATACCTGCTCCAAACACGTGCATTGCTGAATTAAATACTCTTTTTCTGAACATGAATGCTGTTCCATATTCAGCAAAGACAACATCATTTGGTCCCAGTACTTTACATAAAGGAATATCTTGTTCTCTGCTTACAACATCGTTATTATACTCAATCTTTGCCTTTCTGGCAAGTGATGCAGTGTTCACAAATACACACTTTGTGTGTAATTGTAATGTCATTATATCACCGTACGTCTTAGAAAGTTTATGAAATGGTTTTCCTGACTTGACATCCTGTTGTAACATATTACCAATGACTGGCAATGGAAACGGCCCAGGTGGCATTAATCTTCTTTCCAAGTATGTCGTTATTAAATACCAAGTTATCCAAACTAACAAGAACGTTGTTGTCAACTCCAGAATCATGATTTGAAATTCTGGGTAATCTATCATAAAATGTTTTGATGAGAGAAAACACGGCACGTAACTTTAAACCTAATATTTTGTATAAACACAAACACATTGATAAAATTTTATGCTGCATTTAGCACCCTATATTGTAGCGTAATATTTAATCCACCTATTGTTGGTTCTCATAGTGGATGCCCTCTCTTTGTTGGCTATTCCTTGAGACACACATGAAAACCAAGAATTATTGGAGAACAATTATTTATTTTATTTTGATTCTCGTTTTGATTTTGATTTGATTATTATGAAAAATTGCATGGTTTGTGTAGCTAGTAAAGCATTTGCCCAACATTAAGAGAAAATAAATATTTAATAAGACGTGTTGTATATTTAATAGTGCATTTCCACTTTCAATATAGCAACAATCGAATACGAAATGACCAAAAAGGATGTTCAAAAAAATAGCGATCTAATTCATGCCGTTTATTCATTTTGAAATGAGCGATAAAAACAACAATTGCACATAGTGAACAATCATTAGCGCGATGAATTTAACTGAAGGTTCGTTTTCTGCATTTAGCGTCTAGTTTTCGTGTGGTTGAACGCAACGTCTGTTTAGTCTGGCCCATATAAACAGACCATTATTCACCCTGGAAGATTTCTGTGGACAGACATCGTGGTAGACACGACTGCTTAACAACACAATTCGATACGCTCCGTAGAAACGCTCTCTGATGTGTCAATCGAAACCATCTTAACCCGCTTGAGTTTTTGTACCCAAAAGAATTTAGGTATATTCAAGCAACGTGCGAATCATACTAAAGGCTTGCCCTTACTCAATACGCTCCAATTTTGAATTTCATCAACTAATGCTAATTCTTAATATAAATATCAAAGCCCAGCAAAGTGCTTTTAAAAGAGCCATTTAATGCATAAAAAGAAATATTTAATTAGAATCGTAACGTTTCGTCTTGACTCTCAAGACATCATCCGACAGTATTAAAATACAAGTATCGAGGGATATATATATATAATAGCTATTTACATAATATTAAATTAAATCAACAAAATGAAACCATCTCTTAACGCCCAAGGAAACTCCACTGTCCTTCAGTTGCTTTAATATAATTTCGTCCGTCCTCATGTCTGTAACTTTATGATTGTTTGTGTTTTTTTTTTGTTTCTTTCGTGTTTCTACTTATCCCACGTCATACCATCTTATCCCATATTTACTGTCACATTTTCATCCCACCATGTAATTTAATATTATGTAAATAGCTATAATATATATATCCCTCTATACTTGTAATTCAATATTGTCTGATGATGTCTTAAGAGTCGAGACGTTACGCTTCTAAATAAATATTTCTTTTTATGCATTAACTGGCTCTTTTAATTATAAAAGCACTTTGCTGGGCTTTGATAGTTATGAAAGAATGTTTTTAATTTAAATGAAGATAAGATCTTCGCACTTTGCTGGACAATTTAAGCAATCGTCTCAGGAACGTGAAAAAATCAGGTGACTCAACGGGATTCGAACACATGACCTCAGCGGTGCCGGTGCAGTGCTCTGACCAACTGAGCTATGAAGTCACACACACAGTGGTGAGCAGGTCAATATTGTTGGGCTCATGTTTTCTCGTGAAAGGAATGTCGTATGAATGTTTTATGCAGTGCGGTGTTTGAAATTAAATGAAGATATGATCTCCGCACTTTGCTGGATAATTTAAGCAATCGTCTCAGGAACCTGAAAAAATCAGGTGACTCAACGGGATTCGAACCCATGACCTCTGCGGTACCGGTGCAGTGCTCTGAGCATGACCTCTGAGCATGCACTCTGAGCATGCGTTCTGAGCATGCAGTGCTCTGAGCATGACCTCTGCGGTGCCGGTGCAGTGCACTGATCTGATAATAGACTGGATATAGCTTCTATAGGTAGCAAAAGTGAAGCCTAATTATATATGCAAAATTCACTTCCGGGTACCACAAGAAATACAAATTACTATAGAAATGTATGGCGGATAACGTTTACATACAAGGATTTTCGAATATTTAAGGCATTTCGTGACATTTTACTAATCTCAAACATCTGTAATGGATAAAACAAGTTATGTTAATCAATTTAACATCAAAATGATACCAATATCTGCAAAATATCGGCGTTCGTGTTCAATTGAAAATTGCGCGTGCAAGAATCGAATTTGGCCCATCGTTGCAAAGGCAAGATAATTCACAGCTCATTTTCCAAGTTCAGAGGCAGTTATGACCTAGAATGAGTTTCTATGCTTAAAAAATTCGTTTAGTACCTTTCTTTTATCATTCTTTATTATCTAGACATTGTTTTATGTTACTTTTGCCGTGACTTCATTAGCTGGGTACTCTTGTTATAGGAAAAAGACAAATTTACTAAGCTTTCTTCCTCTCTTTATTCTTATTTTCATTTCTGTTTTTATTTTACAGATATAATTTAATCACCACGCTTTGCTAATACATTTGGACATGGCCTTCATGAATGAGTGAGTATAGTTTTTATTGACATAACATGTGCATCAATTGCATTGTATACAAAGATTCAGCAACAGAAATTGTATTTCCATGTAATAAACTACCATCAGAAGCTGAAAACACCATCCTGCCTTGTTTCATGTTGATATAACAATAGCTGTTGGTTTGAAACAAATAACTTCTGTTTGTAGACAAAATATATACTGTAATGATTAGCAAGATTATAGTAGTGCACACAGCTTTTCCATTGTTTCTGAATTTAAAGTGATTGCAATACCATACATGGCTAATTTTATAGGCAGATGCTGCCAAAGAAAACTACCTGCCCTACTTGTTATGCTGTTGGTTGAAAAAATTACTAAAGTGAATCTGCTTTTCTGCCTTTAAAAGACATGAGTACTTTGATTCAAACCAACAGCTATTGTTATTCAAGTATGCAATAAAACAGAAAGGTGCTTTTAACTTCAGATGGCAGTTTACCACATGGGAATACAATTCCTGATGCTACGGTATAGACTGCAATTGATAAAAATGTTGGATACTTTTGTCAATAACAACCATACTTACTCATGGCTGTATACAAATGCTACAGCAAGGTGTGGTGATTGTATTATTTTATAAAATAAAAACAGAAATGAAAATAAGAAAGAGAGGAAGAAAGCTTAGTAAATTTGTCTTGTTCCTACAACAACAGTACCCAGCTAATGAAGCCACGGCAAAAGTAACATAAAACAATGTCTAGATAATAAAGAATGATAAAGAAGGTACAAACGAAAAGCATCGAAACTCATTCTAGATCATAACTGCATCTGAACTTGGAAAATGAGCTGTGAATTATCTTGCCTTTGCAACGATGAACAAATTGATTCTTGCACGCGCAATTTTCAATTGAACACGAGCGCCGATATTTGCAGATATTGGTATCATTTTGATGTCAAATTGATTAACATAACTTGTTTTATTCATGACAGATGTTTGAGATTAGTAAAATGTCACGAAATGCCTTAAATATTCGAAAATCCTTGTATGTAAACGTTATCCGCCATACATTTCTATAGTAATTTGTATTTCTTGTGGTACCCGGAAGTGTATTTTGCATATATAATTAGGCTTCACTTTTGCTACCCATAGAAGCTATATCCAGTCTATTATCAGATCAGTGGTGCAGTGCTCTGACCTGCAAACGCGTTTGATATTTGACTCATCTGCCACGAATAACAAATGTTGTTCTAAACTTCCGCGCACACTAGGAACTTTTGTCGATCACACTTGTCACGAATAACAAGTACGCGCGGCAAGTTCACCAGTGTGCGGCGGGCTTAATGCTAAATTAAATATATGTTATCTATATGGCATTTGTATTTTTCTTATTGACCTTCGTATCGCGTTACTTGCTATTTTTGTTTGTATCGCTCATTTGAAAATAAAAAACACAGTATGAATTACGTGTCATGTGCATGAATTACGAACAATGGCTGTTTTATTCAACTTATCTTTTGCTCAATTGGCATTTGATTGTTGTTAATGAAATTAGAAACGCTTTATTAAATATAGAACTCGCCTGTTTCCTTTCACTTTTAATGAACGGCAAATGCTGTAAAGTCTAGTTTACATTAAGAGCATAATGACTCATGAAAACTGCTCATGTTAAACTGCTCATTCTGGCAAAAGTTGCATCAAGAATATCAAGATAATTTAATATTAATGAACCAAAATTTTTTACCTGAATAGATTCACTCACCGTTTTAATGTTGTTAATGCACCAAAGTCTTAGACAATATAGCTTTGAAGCAATTACGCAAAGGAAATAAAATTACAATCTCTACGACTCTGCCACGTCAAGGCCCACTCTGCCAAAATTATGGCGTATTTTTCCACTGCGCGTGCGTGACCAGTGCTGTCACTGTGTGTATGCACATTTCACCTACCAAACTTTATTTTCCCCCTACCTCCCGCTACCATGATTTTCTTTGTTTCCCCCTACTTTTCCCTTACACAACAACATATCCCTCTAAAGTAAATGGTTTGAACCCGGGAGTATCGTTATATGTTTGTAAATGATGATCGTCCAGGTTAATAAAGTCCTGAGAAGGACTGTTTTTGATGTTGTTGACTGACGTTTCGACAACCTTAGCGGTAGTCATCTTCAGAGTCAAATGAGGAGTAAACGTCAGGTTAGCCGTATTTGTTGTCTGGAGACTTGTCAGAGAGACTTGTTATCAAAGAGACTTGTCAGAGACAACAAAAGACGAGATCAGAAGCAGGATAGCCTCCACTTTACAATCGTCCTCTATACGTGACAACAACTTGACAAAAGACGAACAACAAGCACTCAAACGACTAAAACACGACAACAACATCGTCATTTTACCAGCAGACAAAGGACGCGTGACTGTAGTCATGGACAGGAATGATTACTTTAACAAAATGGACGCACTTGTTAACGACAGACAAACGTACGAACGACTCAAACGAGACCCAACACCATCACTAGTACGCAAACTTAACAGCAAGATCTTCTCTATGAGAAAATCTAACATTATATCTGAACGTATTTACTATCGACTCAGATGTTCAGTACCACGACCACCCAGACTATACGGACTACCAAAACTTCACAAACCACAAATACCCATGCGACCAATTGTATCATTCTGTGGTTCGCCTACTTACGAACTTTCAAAGTACTTGACTAACATACTGCAACCACTTACAAACAAATCAAAACACAAGCTACAATCCACTGAAACATTCATTAAAAAACTGTGCACTATACAAATACCAGACAACTATATACTAGTGTCTTTTGATGTAAAATCACTGTTCACCAGTATTCCACTTAATCTGGCACTTACTTGTACAAAAACCCTCATTACAAACACCACGGACGTACTGCCATTACCGACAGAAGACATTATGGAGTTACTAGAGCTCTGCCTCACCTCGACTTACTTCCAATACAAAGGAACACACTACAAACAATTACATGGGACAGCAATGGGCTCGCCCGTTTCTGTTGTAGTTGCTGAAATTGTAATGCAATCTATAGAGGAACGGGCACTCATGACTTACAAACATGCACTACCTTTTTGGTTTCGCTACGTAGATGACACAATCACAGCACTACATGCAGACGAGATTGATGACTTCCATACTCACATCAACAAACAGAACAGCCACATACAATTTACAAAGATGTCGAAGAAAACGGAACTCTTCCTTTTCTCGACTGTTTGGTAAAACATGACAATCAAAACTAGGAGCAACAGTTTATCGCAAGCCAACACATACTGACCGACTACTAGACCAATCATCTTACAACCCTACATCACACAAAGCCACCACAATCAGAACATTAACAAGACGTGCACAAATCATATGTGATTCACCGGACGCTCTACAAAACGAAAACAACTATCTCAAACGTGTTTTGACAAAACAACTACAAATCTGACTTTATCAAACGCAACACTTACAAACCCAACGAACCCAACGAAACGAACAACTCAGTGACAACAGCAACGATACCTTACATCAAAGGTACGTCTGAGACTATCTCGCGTATCTTACGACTATACAACATACGTGTCGCACATAAACCAATCACAACATTACGACAAGTACTAACGAACATAAAGGACAAAGAACAACCCAACGAACGACAAGGTGCAGTTTACAAAATAAACTGCTCCGACTGTCACGCCTCCTATATCGGGGAAACTGGCAAGAACTTAAACATAAGACTTACTGAGCACAAACGAGCTACTAAGAAACAAGACAAAACTAATCACATTGCCGAACATCACCGAATCACAAAGCACAACATTGACTGGGACTCGGCAAAATGCATCACTTACAGTACTGACTATAGACAACGGCTTACATTAGAAAGTTGGTCACACATCACAACTAAAAATAAAATATTTCACTTCACACTAATCCACAATGACAATGCACATTTCCTGCACATTTCCTGTACACACAATACAATGACGTAAGAACCAGACAACAAATACGGCTAACCTGACGTTTACTCCTCATTTGACTCTGAAGATGACTACCGCTAAGGTTGTCGAAACGTCAGTCAACAACATCAAAAACAGTCCTTCTCAGGACTTTATTAACCTGGACGATCATCATTTACAAACATATAACATATCCCTCTCTTACATACCTACGTCGGGTCAGACCATTGAATTTTTTAGTCTGTTTTTAAAAAAATGCATACAAAAAAGATTCATTGAAAACTAAGAACATCTAGACGACAAAGTTAGAATTTGGCGTAGGAAGTAACGATATTCAAGTGGTGCAAATGACGCACTGAGTTTATGCTAAGTTGCTGATCTTCTATCGCCATATATGGTCACAAATTGTGCAAAAGAAAGATTCTGTTACAATCACTTGCTAAATGGTGAGAGCACAGGAAGAAAAGAGTATTTTGGGCAAAAATGAGTCTCGTTTTTAAACAATTTTCTTTTCTCCCTACAATCCCCCTACATTTTACAGTTTTCCCCGTAGGTTTTCCCTACCACTACAAACCACTATCCTCCTACTGTATGGGGATTTCCCCTACGAGTGGCAGCACTGAGTGAGCTTGACTATGCTAGTTCAGTTGCTTGTCAGTCGAAATCGGTCAAACCAAACATAGTAATACAAAATTTAAACGAACCAGTTACACGACAATTGGACTCCTTATCGGTCCGTCCACCCCTCTTATCTGTCGAGATTATTCCAGGTCGTCCACTGATCTGGCTATTGACCAATGGAATATATGGTCAATATCATATATGTTAAAATCTACTGATCTCTTTACTGAGGTCGTATTTATATAAGTTTTCATGTATAAAACAGAATTGTGACTATGAAATCTAAACTATTACAGAACGGGAATTTAATGATCACAAAAAATTGTAATCATTAAATTTGATAAATAATTTTTGAACTATAAACATCAGTCCCGTGACTGATTTGACATACCCTAGACCCGCCAATGGTGGCTAGGTGGTGGTATCCATGTCCTTTGGTTCGGGGTTCCTGCAATTTCCCCTTTGGCGCAAGGACATTACTTTATGTAATATTATATGAAATGAGTCGGCAAGATGTCGGCCAAACAAATTCTGTTGGCATCTTTGATATTGGAGCAACATTGTGGCGATATAGTAGCGAGAATTGGCAAGAATATTTTGAATAAAGGATTTACAACTCTATCAAGTATTGCACTGGATACGGGATTTTCAAAAAATAAGGTAAGTGCCGTTTATATCTTGAACTAAATTTTGTAATTACGGACCAACACACTGGGAAATATGTTGTTTTTGAAAAGACGTTCTGTATGCTCAGTAAAATTATTTTTGTGCTGGTGTGGAAATCATCGTTATATATCAACTGGGCACACGAATTCTTTGATGAATAATGGGATGGTCTAGAGGACAGTTTTGCCCCGTGCCCTTACCTCGGTGTGGACTGTGGATGGGGAGTGGAGAAGATTGCTTCAGTTTGGTTTAGAGTTCCGTGCTGATTTTTGTAGATTTCGCCGCACCATGCCAGACTTTTATCGAAATTACCGGCCATTATGCACAAATTACAGTCGTTTAATAGTTTGGTTTATTGATAATAATTTGCAGGGAAATTGGCACCTTTCTTGAACTCCAAATGTATATGAAACATTTCACACCTCCATCTCTTGATAATATTAAATTATCAGTTATCATGAAAATTTAACACATGTCATTGTTGTGAACTATTTAGTAAAAACAAAAATAAAACCTGTTTTATAGAATATGGCTGACCAATACTGAGTATTACAAAGCTCCTTATTCATAGACTTACCTATCCACACTCATAAATACCTGCAATGCCTTTGTAAAAAATAATTGTTGTGAAAAACACATATTTTACAGACAGGAGTGCATACACCTCAAAAAACTGGAAGGTGCCCTATGTTTAAGGACTGACTTATGTATAGCTTACACTGGACAACTTTCAAATATTTTTGCCATCATGTATTATCCACGATTCATACAAAAGGCAAAAATGTTATCTGGTGATGTGACAGAGCTGATTTTGATGTGGCAGAGCTGATCTTTATTTTATTATTAAGCTTAATATTATAGGTGGAACAACTTTCTTTGCTCTTTATTTGTTTATGGATCAAATTTCTATACATATTTCACAAAAGCTGCGATGTCACTCACATAATGTACACCTCCGTTTCCAGAGTAGTCATTGAAGTCATTAATGACAAATGGTTATTTCTAACATTAATGATGTGTAAAATAACTTGCCTAATGATATAAAGCTCAAAATATTTGCATTTATACATTAAATTGAATTAGTTGAATTTATTTTCGTGTTTGTTAATAATTTAGCAATTGCAGTAAACTCTATATGCAGCTGTACAATGTTATAATTTTTCCTCAATCAGATCAGAAAAGCTCTTTGCCAGTTAATTCAACATAATTTGGTGAAATGTCAAAAGAATCAAAGAGGTTTCATCACATACACTGGACAACTTTCAAACATTTTTGCCATCATGTATTATCCACGATTTATACAAAAGGCAAAAATGTTATTTGGTGATGTGGCAGAGCTGATTGTCGAGCAACTTCTGTTACATGGTTGGATGACAATGACATCAGTTGTTACTCGTGTTACACAACGGTTACATGATCCTCAGGCTGAAGCATCAGTTGCCATAAACGAATATCAGGTTTCTGAACAGTTCGCCAACATGGCTAGCATGCATTTGCTTCAACATTCAACTCTAGAAAGCATTGATCCCAGCAAGGCTCCTCCAAATGAGAGTGAAAAATATCAGTTGCCGAGAGCATACACACCCACAGGTATGTTACTGGTGACTATTTCTTGTGATATTTTGTTGCTGACATTTTTGTAGAAAAACTTCCTCAAAAATATTTTGTTGATAATGAATAAAGTGTGTTGGGATTACCAGATATCCAGGGGGGTGTTTGTGTTGGAAGATTGATAGTTGACATTTCAATACTTTAGAGTGTCAAAAGTAGTCCTAAACCTACTTTTGTATTCGTGACCTCAAGGGGCGGTTACTTTAGGGGATGGGCTGCGCCACAGAATAATTATTATACCGAACGTTCACTTGTGTCGGAACTTTTGATGTTTTTGTCCTCGCACTTATTGTGCCCTGCATATCAGATATTTAGGGTTTTTCACTTGTTCCCACCCTTAACAATGATCCAAAGTCATATCTTAAGTCAAAAGTGAAGTCTCCAGTTCATTGACATCATGTAATTTTAATGGTTGGAAACCAGTGACAAACCCATTGAACTAAAATACATGGAACGCTACCTGAAGCAAATAATTGAAGCCAAATTTTACCCCCAGACACGCGAGATTGCACCCAGACACGCGTGTTTAGTTGTAATCTCGCGTGTCTGGGTGTGAAATTTGGCTTCAAAACATTTTTTTGGCTTTTCTATTACAGGAAGTGATCCATGTATTATAGGTCAATGGACCAACCTTAATCAACTGGCTGGAATAATGGCCGATGTGAGGACGTATCGCAATCCTGTGTGACCATTCTGTATAATCATTATTCTGTGGTGGCGCTTAGTTTCGTAAGGTCCTTTGTTTTGCGGTAACTTTCGGGGGGGGAGGTAATTTTGAAACTCCAGGATATATTCATATTGTGTAATCCGTAATCACAATAAGTTTCTATAGAAAAACATAGAGAGGACTGTAGAAAGTAGAACATACATATGTGAACATGGACTACCTCAATTATCAATAATCCCCCCCCTTCCTGAGGGTGGCGATTTAAACAGTTCAAGGTTATTTTTTAAGCGTGTGTACTCATGGATTGTCATTATTTATTATTTAGTGTCGGCATCACATAGAAGAAAGGCTTCCTTTAACAAGTAAGTGTTGGTTGCTCAAAATGAATTGTGTTTGAACAAAATGTAAAGAATTTTCACTCATGCAACAAAAAATTAATTCTTCAACCATAATTTAGTGTTTCTGTCTTGTCCTGCGGTTATGTCGCGAGATTACACAAATCACGCGTGACTGACACGAAATCCTTTAACCAATCAAAATCTTTCTTGTATCGTTTCACGCGTGAGAGTCACTAATGACGTGTACAATGAAGCATGATTTGCTTACATAATATATTGCCACCTAGGATATGGTATTACCGTGAATTTCGTTGTGTTGTTTAACTATTATAATACGCAAATGTATTTGTTTGACCCAACATTGTTTTGAGTAGCCCGAGTGAACGCTTGATAGACGTTTTGTAACTATAAAAATAGGTTCATTCATTTTGTAAATGGGGTATGTCACAAATGTTCGAAAAAACAAGTGACTGGCGCGAATCACTTCATTAGGCATGATGTTACACTGGCAGCTGAATTTATTATTTTACCAAATTCGTTAGAAGTACCTCGTTTTTGTAGATAAAATTTGCGCTCTGCAACCCCGGCTCAAAATGTAGCGCTACGCCCCTGCCTTTAACCAATAATAGGAAGCTTTAGCAAGAGTACGACTACGACAACGAGTACGAAATTTGACCGTGTAAGGGAATGGCACGAGGAAGTTTGTTGTCGCTGTCGCTTCGTCAAATTTTTTTTTTAGCTGTAAACAACAGAACGAACCTTTTTATTGTGAAAACCACCGACGTTTGCGAAGTAGCTACGGCTTTATTTGTCAATAACGATATCAACAAATCGGTGATACTGGTTTTGCAAAAATATAGGACTCTTTAGACTGAAAAATCTTCACTATTTTAAATTTTATGTACGATATATTTGTACTACTTTATTGTTTGTTTACCTTTCACTTTGCGTACGAAATACATGAAAGTTTTGCAGGTCATATTTTCCTTTTAATGTACATCTGCGCTAAAAAGGTTCTAAATTAAAGCCTGGATGCTCGAAAATAGTACTGTAAACTAATTTCTTACAGAATGAAGAAATATACCTACTTTCTTTGCTTAAAAAGACATCGTAGTCGCGACTACGAATTTTTTACAAAATATCGTACTCAGATTGGTGACGGCTTCGTGTTTTTGTTGTCGCAACAATGTTTTTGCATCAAAACGACGTAAATCGTAGTCTTTGCTAAAGCTCCTAATAATCTTCCTTGGACTGTGCCATTCGTGGATGTCACTCATACAACGTGTTTAAGATGTGAAAATTATTTTTCTGTGAAAAGTTTTTTCGAATGTGAACTTGTTGTAGTTGAGATGGGCCTTGTGAATTTCTGCAACATACCTGAGAATTACACACGCCATTTAATGATATGCAGTCACGTTCATTTACTAATAAGTTTTTACAAGTGTAAAATACAGATCGCTAGGCCGATCGATAGTCGTCATGTTTTGCTTACGATTTAGACTTCCATGCGGTTGCTTTTAGCATGTGATTAATTTTGCTTATCTTAATGGCCAATTACTTCATCTAATGAACGAATATGGTTATTTGTGGTTATCTTAGTGGTCAATCAGGCCGTGTTATTGGTTACCTTATTGACCAATCACAACATCGAATGAATATATAAAATTATTTGTGGTTATTGTATGGTCGTTCAGCTTTTTCATTCTGATAACATCATTAAGTTGTGCCATTAAATTCCTTATCTCATTTTGTCGGACAATAAACATAGATAAACTTAAAAAGTGGCTAATGCAATGTACGAGCAGTAATTTTTAATTGTCTGGGTAGCTCTTAAACGTGCTCATTCAAGATAAAATATTTCCTAAACTCAGCAAACGCCGAGTGAATTTGTTAAGGCTCGTTTCCATATACGAAAATCTCCCGTGGAATGAAAAATTTCCGCGATATCTTTTCTCCCAGCAATGATTTCCATTTTCCATTCATGCCAATGTGGAAATTGGAAATATAGCGGCCTTAAATAGACGTATACTACTTCTATTACTGTTGAGAAACCGCTACTACACAAGGTTAGACAAACAAAATAAATACAGGAAAAGTATGTGGTAAGACGAATATTTGCTGAGAAAACAACTAACGGGGAATTTGCCACTTTTGTATGAGAAATAAACTTGTAAACAACAAATACTTTTCAAACCATTTTGTATTACTTTATGCTAATTGTTTTTAACATCTATGTCCTGCACAGGACTAAATACACAAAGTTGTAAAATTTCGACTTGAAAATATTAAATATTTTTCCACTGAAAATTTGATCGCATCTCTCGCATTACTTAACGCATGCGCAACCTGGAAAATTATACTTTCCGTGGAAAATTTTCTTATGTGGAAACGGGCCTTAACATCGATTTCATTCTATTGTGTTTTTATGACCAAAAGCATTCTGCCTTACTTCAAAGTCTTTTACCACAAAATTCAATTCACCAATTCTGATTAAAATAAACAAAATTTCCGCCGTTTTAGCTGTCTTTATTGTCGACTTTTGACACCTTTTAATCTATGGAACAACTTTATCTTTTCACAAATTTCAACTTTTGCAACAATGAATGTTGACATAGTTATATCTTAAAGTGTTTATGACAAAAATTTCGACAAATTGCTTTTTATTGCACGGTATAGGCCATATAAAATGACTTAACAAATTCTTTAGTAGAAGTGTGTTTTTATTTCTCTTTGAAGATATGCAGCAGCTCTTTATTATGCAAATGACATCATTATGACATCAAATTGCTTATTAAGTACTATGAAAAATTGGTTCTTTTGACTCTAAGCATTAGTATGTCTTACTTTGTCATCTTTGCAGATACTCATTTACATAGTATTCATTGTTGTATTTATTACACTGTTGTATTTATTTATAAAACCTAATGTCAAAAATTCACGTTCTTTAAAATGTCGTTATGATGTGGGATGTCATAACGATGTTATTTGCCTAAAGAAAAAAGTTAAATATCTCCAGAAAAAAAGTACCAAAGTCAGTTGTACTAAAGAGGTTATAAAGTCGTTTTTATATGTTCTACCCAATACAATCAAACAAATCTGTGATAAAATTTCGTGTCACAAACACTTTGAAACTTCGGAAGCCGGTGGTGCAAGTGAAAGAACGCTTTTTATTGGTTTTGATACCTAACCACTTAACCTTAATTGATGCATCCCTTTTCAACAATCACACGAGTATCACTCTCAATTTAATACCTACAACTGTCTCCCTTCTCCACATTTTATTTTTCCTTCATCATAAAAATCAAGTAAATCTTTTACCGTTTCCTTTTTAGCGACAAAATTTCGATCGATTTTCAGGTAGTGTAAGATACTTCATTTGATGTTATAATAAAAAATCGATAATTGCCTTTCAATGGAGTGGAATTGCTCAGACTTATCCGTCTTCAAAAACAGGACTCTGACATCTTTTGGCAAGTTAATATTCAACAGTTCAACGTCCACCTGGTCGATGAGGTAAGATGAAATTTTTGCGCCTCAGTAAACATGAATTTCATGAAGTCCCTTTTTTCCACAAAGATTGTTTTTCGTTTGAAAATGCGCCAGTCTTTGTTTTTAGTGTCATGAAATGTATGGGAAAATTAATTGAACGTGGTTTAAATCTTCTCAAAATGGTAATTCAGTTGAAATTACCAGGGGCGGATCTAGGATTTTTCAAACATCAGTCATAAAACGTCGGAGGCGTTCCGCACCTGGGGGGAAACTGAGGCATTCTCCCCTGAGAAATTTTGAATTTCAGAGACTTGAAAATGCCGTTTTCAGCGTTTTAGAGCAACACAAAATGTATTTTGTGGGCATCGTTTTTGCGTAAAAACAACACATTTTTGCTTTCGTTTTTTGAAAAAAAAAATGAAGTGAACAATACTTGAATGTTTTGCCAAATATCTAGCCTCGTTATCATGCCAAATATATGAATCATTAGCATGTCTAGGAACGTAAAATTTATTTTACAATAATGCTATTCAAAAACAGATATAGTCTTTAAAAATTTCTACCAAGTTGTCAGGCATAGACCCTTCTAGATACCCCCATTCAAACCTCTATGTAATGAGTTAAGTTAGAAATTTGGTACTACAAGTGACAGTTCATAGATATGGAAAAGCTCAGACTTCAAACCATGCAAGTTTATTGTTTTACCCATCTCCACATCACTGCCAGCAAATTCACCTTTTGAGAAAAAACTCAAAATTTTTTCCTGCCGAAGATTAAGCAAAAATTATCAGAGTGAAAATTTGCAGTTAAGGACAGCTTAATGCCATAAATGTTTATTAGGCATTTCACTAGACTATTATCTCCTGTAAGTATATGCAAGGTGTGCTATATAGCAATCACTAGTAGCATTGTATTTGCAAATACAAACAGAATGTAACCAACATGTCTTTAATTATATAATTACATGAATGTTAAAATTGGTTCATGTGTCATGCTTACTGGTTATGATAAATATCTTTTCATATGATCAAAGCTCGTTTAAATGTAAATCTGAAATAACTTAGTTTAGAAATTATAATGATCATCTGAAAAATTACCTAGTGATCATGAAAAATACTTTGCTGTTTTGCCAAATTTCAAGGTTTATCTGCATACATTGGAAGACATTTTTACTTTATAGAAAATGCTATTCATACATCAATAGCCCTTTGGAATTTATGGCAAACAATCTGGTATGAGCCGTAGATTAACACACCTTTACATCTCTACATGAGGTGTTCAGTTAGAAAAGGGGACAATATGTGACATGGGACAACATTTCATGAATGTGAAATACTCAGGTTTAATACCATTCCAGTCAAATTGTCAAAATAAAAAGCTTCATGGATCATAAGACTCAAAATCACAGGTTATAGTAAACAGCTTCTCATGTAATCAATGTTAGTTTTCTCAAATCTAAAACAATATGAAGTATAACTGTCCAATGATTGAATGATCAATGATCATAAACTGAAAAGCCCCAAACATTTGTTTATGATAAAGTAAATAATAGTATGGCGCCTTATGGCTACAGATTTTTTGTCCATTGAAATATATTTGCAGGAATGTAGGATTTCGCTGCCATATAACAGTAACGATTCCCCAAGCACTAAAGAGTCCTTCGTCAACAACAATTTTAGAAGCATCAATCTGCTTACCATACGCTATATTGACATAAACACACTTGCTTAAATTGACTTTGATATATAACATTCATGCATACACTTCACTTGTCCTTTACTTACGATTTTGGATGTGAATTTCTGCAGATAAAACTCAAAACAATGTTGGCTTTCTTTTGAACATCAATGACTGAAATGTCGCTCGCACGATCGTCTTTGCCAAGCATTTACAATTTATCCATAAATTTTTCACCCTCTTGAAAAAATTCACAGTTTGGAAAGCAGCATTCATGTCAATATATCAATTTGTAAAAGATTTCCATAAATTCCATCTGATTGTAGTTTAGTTTCTATCATGCTTATAAAAATTATTATGAAACGATCAAATATTCAATTCAGACAGTGAGCTTGACTATGTTAGTTCAGTTGACTATCAGTCGAAATCCGTCAAACCAATCACAATAAAACAAAAATTCAAATAAACCAATTGTAAGATAGCAATTGGACTCCCTTATACGTCCGGCCACCCCTATTATCAGTCGAGACCATTCCAGACTGTCCACTGATCTGGCCATTGACCAATAAAATAAGCGTTTTTGGCGTTCATAGACTCCTTTATCCGTCGAACCAGTCAAGCCACCCCGCTTATCAGTCGGTTATTCCAGGCAATTAAAATTCAACGTATCTGATTACCGACGAGATATTCTTTGCATTTATCATTAGTTTTCAATAATAAATAAAGCTGGATTTTTATCACGAAGTAAATGCGATAAGAAATTTAGAATAATTAATGAATTTTTAATTATTATGAATTGGTAATTTTTGAATTTTAAACATCAGTCGCGCGACGGATTTGACATACTCTAGATCCGCCCCTGGAAATTACTATTTCTTTTCTATGAAATTTTGGTGGGCAGACCCACGGGCACTCAAACAATCAACTTGCAAAGGGCACCATGAACGGTGGTATTTATGAAAATAAAGATAAAAATATAGGTTTATCTTTGTGCAAATGAAATTCCTGTTCCTGATAGTATTTTGAAAAACTCTAATTTCTATATACAAATTAAAAACTAATAAATATTGTGTTCTGTTAACGATTCTTTAAAAAAGGTTTATGTTCTTAGATTTAGGGGGGCACCCCATCCTTTGAAGACCATGAGCAGCCTGGCTCAAACTTACCTCGTAACTGAGAAATGTGTTTATTGTGAAAATTGTTATATTACACTATACAAAAAGACAATTACCATAATCTTGTATTAATAAAGAAAATTAGAACCATTAATTTATATTGGAGTCGTTATATGCATGGCGTTTGATTTATTAATTTTGAAAGTTGATTTTTTACAGATAATTGTCGATGGTACGAGAAACTGTATAGACGAGGTTTGTGTCACAATATACTGTAATCGCACTTACCAAGAGATGAACTCTTACTCATGACTGCAACGATGTTCCATTACATAATACATAATGTATATTAAAATATATCATAATTTATGGAGTCTGAGAGCGAATTCTAGCTTGTAAAAGATTATGGTAGCTGTGAATCTAAAATAGTTGCTATTCGACTAACTCATGCATTTTCTCTTCCTTTCTCTATATTTTTCTGTTTTCTACAATGGGAATTTTTCTACGTTTTGTCATTTGAGATTGCCTCGAAAGTTATGGACGTGATGTGCAAAATGACCAATGTGGACAGGTCATGTTTTTCTGATAAAACGAAACGTCTCGGTTTCTACGAAGTATGTATTTAAGTGACGCGGAATTTGTCTGCTTCTCTCAATCGAAAGAACTTTTGAAACTGTGATGGGACATCTTTCGGAGATTTTTGAGTGATTTGTCGTGTAGCGAATGCAAAGTATTTTAATTAGAAACATTTTTATTTCTTTAACTTGCTAAAATTTTCATCCAATGTTACAGTTATTTCATCAATTTTCCTAAATTTTACACTTTGCTGTACTATTTACAAATACATGAAACTGTTTGGTTTCATTCGTTAATGATGCAAAAAAACGACAGTTTCTAAAATCAAAACAAAATAGAGGAAGCGTCTCTGCAATCTGTCTTAAAAGAGAAACTGCGGACAAGAAATCTTTATGAGAAATGTCATTACAGTGTTAAAAGTTTGTAAAAGTTTGAATTAGAAAATAACAAATTTTCTATCATGTTTGAGGTGTCTAAATATGGCTGATGGCCGATATAGAAAAAAATTGCTTGATATTGAAGCATTTCCAATCCTTGAATTTGCAGATAGCCGAGAATTTATCACATCAAGAAATGAGCGAAGGTGATCTTCTAAGTTGGCTTAGTATCCTCGAACAAGAAAAGGTAGGATGTCCGATTTGTATTTTTGTACCAGTGAGATTGTTTTAGGTGTAGGGATTAATACAGGGATTCATTTACTGACAGTGTCGACAGGTAGGCACCCTTCCTAATTATAGCTAGAGAGTGTGCTGGAGGAATTTCAATTTCTATTCGAAATATCAACATCAATAAGCAATTGAGCCAGAGGAGTTGTGATTTGTTTTTAGCGAAGCACACGTGCAAAAATGTCTCCCAAGTTAAAGAATTTAATAAAAAATGTTTAACATGTCACGGCGACATCTACTAGGTAGCCACCGGAATCCAATCTATATTATGACCAATAATATGATCAGTAATTTGCTGACATTATGGGAGTGCCTATTTTATTCACATTTGAGAACCTACGACCAATCAAATTGCTCTGTTTCAGGGAGGTTTTGTGACAAAGCAATCCGACAGTTCCGGAGGATTGTATGCTATCAGTATCCTTTTCTGGTCTTTTTTTCTGTCAGAAATATGTAGTTTGTGAAATTCATTTATTTATTTCTAAAACGGGGAAGTGCTGTTGATTTGACGATTTGTTTAAAATATTTGAGCATAGCGTTTGGAAATTGTCAATAATACGAATTGGGTACAGTCTTTTTAATGAACATTTGAAAATAAGCTTTTTACGTAGTCCTGATGCGCATAAAAATCAATTAAACTATGGCCAACTTATGATTTTATATCGTTTTCAAAAATTACAGTCAGAATTGAGAATTGTTCATGTGTTTTATACAGTGGCGTAACGAGCCTGCAAGTCTTCATCCTGTGTGTTTTATTTCTGTAGAAGTTTGTTATTTTTATAGTTAGTGAACACCAAAGTATTTACACAGCACGACCAAACTTGGGGCTTGATTCGTCACTAGTTACCAGCGTTTTGTGTTTTCTCTCCTTGACCGTGTCCTTAATACGAAGACATAAAAAATATACTACACGCTCTCTCTCTTGCCTGCATCGAGTCCATTATTAAAGAGAATTTAGGAGCAAAGTCGTTTCGAATCTTCAACTGTCTAAGAATGAAGGGATATTTAGAGCAGCAACAGGTGAATTTCTCGAAATTAAAGTTAGAAGATTAATTTTCAAATGTTTTTTTTTTCTTTCTCAGTTTTCCGATAAACAAACTTTTATAACATTTTTTCAAGTACAGTGCGACTATGAACACCTTGAATTCTGTAACATATACTCTTATAAAAGTTTTGATTTTACTAAGTTTTGTTATCTCTTCCTTTTTACCTTGCTAACTGATGGTTTTAACTTAAAAACTTGAGAAATTATCGAATACCATGTCACATAACAACATTATCTGCAAGCCTGGCCCCAGCCCTAACTTTATTCCTAATCATAACGTAGTTTGATTGTTGTTGCCAGTCCTTAAGGTATGATATTCTGTAATTATGCCTCAAAAATATTTTGGTCGCGGATGTTTGAAACTTTCTTTTTAATTATTTTGTATAATAGTTTTTGTTATAAATTAGTTTAAATTACAAAGGTTTGAGTGAAAATAACCATCTAAAACTGTTCATTACACTCATTTACCTGTTTGTAGACGTAGATCGTTAAGGTAAGTGCAGTCCTGTATATGGTACAATTGGTGTTTGTATTGACTGGCGTTTCGACATTCTTAGTGGTAGACGTCTTCACAGTCAAGTGTGAACATTATGTCAGGTTCGCTATATTTGTAGTCTGGTTCATACGTCATGGTTTTTTATTTAGAGGTGTTTTATTGGCTATTGTGTATTGACGTACAAAACAGACAAAAATCCGGTAACTTTTCACTTGACTTGACTCAGAATATCAAATTGTCAGTGTACACCAACATCAACAGTCTTTCTCGCAACTCGTCTAAGGGCCTGTTTATATGGAGCCGAGTTACCCGGCTGAGCGAGTTACTCGCCAAGCCGGGTAACTCAGCCCTTATATAAAATGAATGCATTTCCCGGTGAATCGTTATATGACACATCCGAGTAACTCGCCTTGCCGGGTAACTCGGTTTGTGTAAGCGAGTTACCCGGCTAGGCGGGATGAATTTTTCCATATAAACGCATTTGCCGGGAAACTCGGCGAGACGAGAAAATTGGCTCTGTTGGTACCCATGCGTACTAAGCCTTGTACTTGCAGTATTATAATACAAAAACATACATATGTCATAATTTTCAATTTTATGTTCACCCATTCCATTTTTGCTGCGAAACTGTGAGGCTTTTTAAAATCTCGCGCCTTAACTCGAAGTTAGCATAGCAAAACTTCATTTAAGACTAATAAACGGAAGTGCTAGCCGAGTTACCCGGTGCCATATAAACAGATCACTTTGTCAAACCCGGCTAGGCGAGTAACTCGCCTAAACTTCATTTTAGATTAATAAACAGAAGTGCTAGCCGAGTTACCCGGTGCCATATAAACAGATCACTTTGTCAAACCCGGCTAGGCGAGTAACTCGCTCAGCCGGGTAACTCGGCTCCATATAAACAGGCCCTAACTTCGATGACTTACATCTGCAAACGTGTATAATGATACTTCCGGTTTAAACTATTTACGGAATTAAGTACCATGCTCTTCTTCGTGAGCATTTATCAATGAAGATCTATGAACAACTTTATAGATCGAGGATTTTTGTATGATTCCATCGAAAGAAGCTAAAGAGCTTGTGTACAAGTTGGTGGAGGAAAATTTCGTCAATTTATTGGTTTGTCGCGTTTTGTGCGATTAGCAGAAACATTTGTGGTTGAACTTATGCTTGGGCAAGACCAGTTTTTTTCCTTAGATGGGGATGCATGGAATATACTACAAAAGAGGATAGAATTGCTAAAAAAATAAGTATGGGTGTTGAGAACTTGAAAGACAATTAAGGATGTGTTGGTATAATTTCACAGGTGGTCCACTGCAATAGTGACTATGCCCCTTTAAGTACAGTGTATTATACATATTTGGAGGATTGGTTGAGGATGTGTAGTTATAAGTTTTTTTTTCATAGGAGATTCCTCGCAGTATTGAGCATGTCTCTTTAAGAACACTGTATTATATGTGGAGGATTGGTCGATGATGTGTAGTTATAAGTTTTTTTTTCCACAGGAGGTTCCTCGCAGTGCTGACTACGCTCCTTCAAGAACGCTGTATTTATTTGGTGTTAATGTGCCGCAAGTTTGTCGAATGTTATTGGATAAAATTTATACGGTAATGTGAATTATTATTTACGTCTGGGATCCCGGGGAATGACTACTTTTGAATTATATGCACTGGGAAATAAGTGCCCATTATACAATACGTTTATCTTTTTTTCGAAGGTTCATTCTTGGCCTAAAATTTCGTGAGGTTAATGATGATTTCTTGTCATTCTTAGTGTTTTTCCTTTAGATTTTAGCGAACATTAAGATACGTCAGTGTGAGGAAAGTAAGCAGGAAACGTAGGTATTAATTATATTTCTTAATTAATTTATATACTACAGGAATATATCCGGGATGATTTTGTATGTGTGTATGTGGGGGATAGTTTTGTAGTTTAGTTTTTACAAGATGCCGTTCGGTCGTAATGTAGTTTGTATTGCATTTTGGTGTTTGCCGTTCGTTTCGTTATGTCAATCACATGTTAGAGTTTTTGAGGGTTTGACCCTGGACTATGGAAAATGAATAGTTTGGCTTTTGTTTTAGCTTAATTGTTTGGTATGTTAATATTTTGTATGGAAGTTTGTATCCTTTTTTCATCCCTTCTAACCAAGTCTATGGGGTTGTGCATCTCCCCACACACTCCAGAAATCCATCCCTTGTATAGTATGAAAAATTCCATCTGCTTGTTTCCATGCGCGATCCAAGATAGACACACGAATCAATGGTGAAGTGTTGTTTCTTTTAAGGCTTCTTCCCACTACAAGAGTTGTATTGTTTGTATTTGTATTGTTTTCTGCATTTCGCATTATAATCATGGTGATTGGGTAGAAGGGACACATGAGTATCTAGACGCCATTTTGTTCCAAAAGTGAAAATTATGACCATCTTTTAGATAGGAAATAAAATATAAAAATTTTTACAATGATTTCATGTTGCGTTTTATAGTGCAAATCAAAGCAATGAACAATAGAAATCCACGCGCTCCTTGTGGCAAAACGTATTAAAAGCGTGTTAATTACATCCACTGCGTTAAATACATGCTTTTCTATTATTATGACATCTATAAACAACTGAATTCCAAAGACGGTGATCGCTGTCTATTCATAAATGAGAAAATATAACCGAAAGTTGGTCTTTCCACCTTTAATGCTCTTTATTTGCTGGCTTTTGGAACAAAAATGGCGAACGCTGAGCAGTTTTACTTCCGGTGTTCAAACTCGTTTTGATGTAGGTACTCTGGTGTTATTACTGCGATGTCTTGATTTTGATGTAAAATTCAAGCTTTTAGCTAATACTTTTTCGTTTCACCTCATGAATGCCCTTGAAATGCATAAATCCATAAATTACAAACTACGCATTTTCATTCACTCTTTGTCGTGTTGTGCAAAGTTCTAAAATACACTCAAAATAAACTCTCCTCAGGCGATTGTTGGAAAAATCGGAAAGATTGGAAGGAACGATATCATCGTTACAGAGTCAGGGTTTTGACGAGGATTCGCAGGCTGTGAAAGACATCAGAGAAATGATGACTGACTACGAGAAGGAAAGATTAGTGCGACTTGAGAATATCGTTAAAAAGTAAGTCTAAGTTAAGCTTGTTATACGTCCAAGTATTGCGTATTATAACTGTCTGTCTTGTGATAAAACTCCAATCTTGATATATTATTTTTTGCTTCATTTTAACTTGGAGATTATCAGAAAAGGGGGAGGTGCAACAAAAGGCCTGAGGCTGCATAAATTTTATGCAAAATTGCAAGAGCATACTAATTCATGCAACACATGCTTTAATATCAACTTTTCAATCCGATATGGGTTTTTTGTGTATGAGATTGAATTCCCAGTGATTTTTGACTTCAAGAGACTGAGAAAAAAATATAGGTGGTTTTTTTTGCTACCTTTTCAGCTACAGGTTATGAGAAAAGGGAATAAAATGACCCCTAAATCTAGGAGTGATGGTTACTGCATCTTTGAGTTAGTAAATTATGTTGTAAATAATTACTAAGTAAATTTTGTTTGACTCAGAACAATATGCTGAGGCTTTACATGCCATCCACTCAGATTGGATCACATAACGTTCCTTCACTTTTTGTACTTTTAAAAGCTGTCCCCCCCTGCTTGTTTTTTATTTTTGCCGAATTACTAAAAATTCAATAGATACATTATTGAAATCAAACAAGACATGGCGCGCAGAGATTTACATGTTAGAAAAATTGACCTTCATGATGGAAGTTTGATTTGTCGCAAAAGTTTTTGTTAAAGCCAGCAGCCCTCATTGAATTTTTTTTTATAGAATGGAATTCAATTCCCCATAACTGTTGTGAAAATAACGCTTCGTGTGTTTACTACTATAATTATTTTATGTTTAGATGCGATCATGGCGAAATGCAGGTTACAGAAACTCTTTTTGTATTTTCACAATTTGTTATTTTGACGTGATATCAAGGTGGCTGAATTCCGTGACAACGTCTTCCGCTGAACGATCTATTGATTGTCATAAAATTTCTTTGATCTGCTAGTGTGATCTTTAACCGTTTGTAAAAGGGAATTTAAATCGTCCCTCTATAATAATATTAACGTAGGGCCCATTTCATATCTCATATTTTACATACGCCAAAAACATTGAAGACAAAAGAAAATCAGATGAAATTCTTCATTATGTTTTGTTTAAATTTCAATCGGCTTATGTAATAGGCGACGTTGAAAACAAAACATGTCTGATAATCGTAAAACAGTGTTCCTGTTTTTTAATAAAGTTGTAATACTAACAAAATAAAAATTACACAATTGCTTTGAGCGAAAAATTCCCAATCATTTTGAAATGGTGATTACATGTCTGTTGTTTTTAATTGTCAGTTTTATACACAAATGTAGACATAAAAGTAGACACAAAGGTTGACATAAAGGTAGGCATAAAGTTAAACAGAAAGTAAGAAAATAATGTAGACACAAAGATAGACATATAGGTAGACACAATGGTTGACATTAAGGTAGACATAAAGGTAGACATAAATGTAGACATAAGGATAGACATAAAAGTAGACATAAAGGTAGACATAAAGGTAGACATAAAGATAGACATAAAGGTAAACATAAAGGTAGACACAAAGGTAAACGTAAAGATAGACACAAAGGTAAACATAAAAGTAGACGTAAAGGTAGACATAAAGGTAGACATAAAGGTAGACACAAAGGTAGACATAAAGATAGGCACAAAGGTAGACATAAAAGTAGACATAAAGATAGACATAAAGGTAGACATAAACGTAGACACAAAGGTAGACATAAAGATAGACATAAAGGTAGACATAAAGGTAGACACAAAGGTAGACATAAAGATAGACAAAGGTAAGAGACAAAAGGTAGACAAAGGTGGACATAAAGGTAGACATAAAGGTAGACATAAAGAGACATAAAGGTAGACATAAAGGTGACATAAAGGTAGACATAAAGCAGACATAAAGGTGACATAAAGGTGGACATAAAGGTGAGACATAAAGGTAGACATAAAGTAGACATAAAGGTAGACATAAAGATAGACATAAAGGTGACATAAAGGTGACACAAAGGTAGACATAGATAGGCACAAAGGTGAGACATAAAGTAGACATAAAGATAGACATAAAAGTAGACATAAAGGAACACAAAGGTGAACATAAAGATAGACATAAAGGTAGACATAAAGGTAGACATAAAGGTGACATAAAGATAGACACAAAGGTAGACATAAAGCAGACATAAAGGTAGACATAAAGGTGGACATAAAGGTAGACACAAAGGTAGACATAAAAGAGACATAAAGGTAGATATAAAGGTAGACACAAAGGTAGACATAAAAGCAGACATAAAGGTAGACATAAAGGTGGACATAAAGGTAGACATAAAGGTAGACATAAAAGTAGACATAAAGGTAGACATAATGGTAGACATAAAGGTAGACACAAAGGTAGACAAAGGTAGACATAAAGGTGGACATAAACGTAGACATAAAGGTAGACATAAAGGTAGACATAAAGGTAGACATAAAGGTAGACATAAAGGTAGACATAAACGTAGACATAAACGTAGACATAAAGGTAGACATAAAGTTAGACATTAAAGTAGACATAAAGATAGACATAAAGGTAGACACTGCGTAGTTGAAGAGACCAGAAATTGTATAGAACGCCGTATAAGACTATTTACGGTGGTTTCTCGTCACTGTTTGTATCCTCCACACAATATTTGAAGATGAATGTTGCTACGTCGTCAATTATGCAATCAAATTGAAAAAGTATGAAGAAATAGTTGATAACTTCTAGCCGTCAAAGGATGGTACAGAAAGCCAGAAATATGTCATCCTCTCATTTAACTAGAACAAGAGCCTCTTGTGTTGAACTAATATTCACAAAATCACAGCAGCCTCTAAAAGAGATCTTTAACTTATTTTTTATAAGGAAACGTGCTGCACGTCAAAGATTTGTGCAAGCATATTTCTCTCTATGGGTTTCCCTAGAAATTACTCCAAAGCTAGTTACTACATATGTATTCCTCATTTATCACCAAAGTAATAATATCTTTCATTTCTAGTTTCACTCTTTGCATGTCTTAATTTTTATGATAATGTTTCTTCTTTGTTGCGCAATATCATAAGCTCGAAAGTCTTGTATAATCTTGCTTCGAGACCACTATTGGTAAATTTTATTTTTGCATTAATTACTACAAAATAGGAATAGTAAGTTAAATTGGTCATTTATCTGCAACGAACTCTTTGGTCTCTTGAAAAGACACAACCTGTCGAGGCTGCAAAGTGGAGGTTCAAACCCTGTCTGGAATAAGATGTAGGCTATAACATGAGCTAAGAAACAGGAATATAGTGCTGCTCAATAGTACGAAGATAGCATTTCTATGATAAAGTTTTCAAGAATGGTTTCCGACACTGTAATTTCAGAAAAAACCCGCTCTCCGCTAAGGAACAAGAAGAAGGAGGAAGGAGGAGAGCGAAGAAAAAAAGATACGATCCCATGCAAAAAACTACTCTTAAAAAACTAAGTGTTTTGATCATTATTTTTATGACTCGCTATGATCGTAGGGAGTTATTATTGTAAATTTTAATAGTCAGGAATTTAAGAGCAAACAGAACGCTCTAATTTTCCTCTTCTTACCTCCAGACATTCGTTCCTCAGTTCGACTTTCTGTCGTCCACATCCCCCTCGTACACCTAAGTGGTGCGAAACAAGGATCTTGTGCACAGGAGGTCAGTGATGGCAAGTCAAGCTAAGTACTCAACATCGAAAGCATTCAGTTTTTTGGATTATTTAATCCTTTTTTTAAGTTTAAGGGGAAGAAAACGAATTGGTCAGAACCGGAGACGGTGTAATCCTTAATTCCGTAACTGTACCACTCAGTATTCAAAATATTTTAACTCGAAAAATGACAAAGAGAAAAGGAAAAGATTTGAAACCAAAAGGTGTGATCACTGCACCGGCAACTGTACCGCTTGGCCAGACGAGAAACATGCAAACCTTGTCACAACATGTCAAGTGGTCCAGAAAGCAACATTCATTGCCTTCCATCATCTAAAGTTCACAAAATATAGTATGTTTCATTAATGTTTTTTACCATGATTGCAAAGGAGAAAAAGAGATTTACTTGGCGTCTCTGTCGAACTATAACTTTGCTAGACATTCATGACATCCATAATTTCAAGGAGGAAGATGAATAAAGTATATACTATGTCAGCCATTGCCATGTGGTGAATGATAGAGCAATAACGCGCATGTTCGTAGTCAATTTAATGGCGTTGCGAATCATTTAAATTGTTTAAACTTACCAAAAATAGTTTTTACCATCATGACAGTCAACACTTTTTTACAGGGCAATTGATGCTTCAGCGCTTACTTATGTCAGTTTGCAAAGCCATATGACTCGATAAAATATCGTTCACTTTTTTGTGGTAAGAAATCATACTTATGTTTAAAAGCAACGTGGTCAATTTGGGACTAATTTTATCCAGTTACGTTGCGCTTCGGAAACTGAAAATATTTTGTTCAGCAAAACGTGTTTATTATTTTACTAGTGGCTTTGGTAATTTAATAGTTTGCCGTTGGGGATAATTCAACTTGTTTGTCTCATGTCTTCTCTTATGAAATGATGACGTTTTCAAATGTCGTTCATGTCGTGTCTAATGACTTTATTGACTATATTTGACAATACACAACATACATTTCGTGATTGTTTAAGAAACAAGTACATGACGTTTGCAAAAGTATTAAACACGTCTTTTTTGCTAAAAAATTCATGTCATAATGTCATCATGTTATCATGTAATCTTGTAATTATGCAGTCATTTTGGTCAAAAACGACATTTGAAAAAGCTCTATAAGGGTTAACATTTAACAGAAAGTCATCATTTTATAGAAGTTGTCTTTGCAACGTTCTTTGTTTTCTCTTTATGACTACCCTTACGTCTACCTTTATATGTCTACCTTAGTGTCTACCTGTGTCTACCTTTATGTGTACCTTTATGTGTACCTTTATATGTCTACCTGTGTTACTGTCTATTAGTGTCTACCTTTATGTGTACCTTTATGTGTACATTTATATGTCTACCTTTACATATCTACCTTAGTGTCTACCTTTATGTCTACCTTTATGTCTACCTTTATGTCTAGCTTTACGTCTACCTTTTTGTTCACTATTGTTGATATATTTTTCTCTAATTTTACGTCTACCTTCATATTTCTACCTTTATGACGAACTTCGTGTCTACCTTTCTGTTACTTTGTAAGTTTATGTCAACTTTGTGTTAACTTTTTGTCGATCTTTGCGCCTACTTTGTTTAATTTTTTAATGTACCATTCCTTCTTTGTGATATATAATGTGATAAAATTGACAGTTAAAGGTCTCGAACTAAGATTATAGAAGAATTTTGAATGAGAGATAGTGCAGCACGTCAAAAATATATAATTATAAAAATAAGGCGTAAAAAATCTATAAAGATTGAATACGTAGTACAAGTCTGGTCATTGAGCTGCAATTTTTATATTGAGAATGACACATTTTTGGATTTACATTGTAACATGTTCAAGCAGCTAAGCAATTGTTCATTTTCGAAAGAATTTCGGAAGTTGTTGAACAAATCATATGCTGATGTATAAGGAGCATCTTCACGTAATGTCATCTGTAGCATTGTCCGCCGTTAAACTAGCTAATGGACCTTTGTATAGGTGATGCATTTCTTTGTCGTTCAGACGTTGAGGACCATTGTTTAGAAATAACGTAAATATTTCAACAGTCATACTACCCATTTGAATGACATGATTGATGATGCCAAGAACTTGTGAAATGATCAACCACATGTTCACACTTTTTTCTTTTGCATACCATATTTCACGTTAGTCTTTATTTCTTCAATGTGGCCATAACATATTAAGACTGATCCGAACCCCAAGCTTTTCCTTAACATAACCTGTCCTGTGACTGTTGTTCTTGAGAGTATTTGTGGCAGTGTATTTTATATTTGTGATGGGAGCGATTTGAAAAAAACAGAGCCATTCAAAAGATGCAATCTTACATGAAAAAATAAAAAGACTCTATTCGTACGTGGTGTCTAAAAAAACACGCTGTTCACAGCAATATTTAAATCACACGATAGAGATTGTCTAAGGATTTGAGTTTTAAATTACAATCTCTTTTCAGTACTAATCAGTAAGGCAGAGCTAAGTACTATAATATTCACAACCCTCAATTGGCGTTTTACATTAGCACGGTGCTTATACAACAATGTCAACAGTTTTCAAACATAATTACTGTAAATTTAGCATTTTATT